ATAAGCTCTGGGCAAGGAAGGACTTTGTTCATTTGTATATCTCCCTTCTCTAGAACAGTGCCTGACACATAGTAGCTGCTGAGTATTTGTTGAATGAATGAAATAATGCCTTAGTAAATCTGTAATTGCCATGAGAATAGCTTTCCTCTGAAGCTGGCTCAGAGTTATTTCTGAATTGATATTTTTATAGATCCAGAGAGCCACCAGTTCCTCTCGCAGTGAAGCTGAAGGGCGGAAAGGCACTATTTCACAGTACTTCACTACCTTGCACTGTCCTGTGTGTGACGACCTGACTCAGCACGGCGTCTGTAGTAAGTGTCGGAGCCAGCCTCAGCATGTTGCAGTCATCCTCAACCAAGAAATTCGAGAGATGGAACGGAAGCAAGAGCAACTTGGAAAGGTACAGCCTTGTTCGATAGACCCAGAATCCCAAGCAATCTAATTCTTCAGGGAAATGTTGTCAACTCTTGAGATATGAGATATGACACTGGTGTAAAAAGGGGAGTAAGGATTCTGTCTTATAACTCATTTTTTATTTTTATGGAATAGTGTATATTGTATTTATTAAAACCTAGAACTACAATATCTTTTATAATAGTATTAAAAAAGAAACAAAAGTGCCAGTTGCTCTGTCTACTATATCTACTTACCATTCTCATAAAAATTGGTTGTCCTAGAGAATTGCTAGTATACTTGGAAGGTTTGCAATTCTAAGAGACCAGAAAGAAAATTAATAGTTAACATGATTGAGTCTTACTATATGCCAGAGACTGTTCTAGACCCTCTTACAAATGAGTAAACCGACACAAAGGGATTAAGTAATTTGCCCCATGTTACACTGCTAATAAGTGGCTGAACTGAGATATTGACATAAAATGCACAGATGATTTTTCAAATGCAGGAATTCTAGCAGAAATCAACAACAGAAATCTCTTGAAATAAGTTGGAAAATTAAATTATCAGAGTACATTTTTTTAAAATAAAGTAGTATATTCCTTAAAAGAGTGACTATATCTTATACCATCATATTTCAGTTACATTTTCACAGTTTTGGGATGGAGTTTGTTTTGTCTTGTTTTAGAAGAGCAATGTATAAAGTTATTGAAATGTTTTAAAGCCAACCAAATAATTGAGAGGCAGTGTGATTTATTGGAGAATGAATCCTCCTGGTAGTAAGGACATCAGGACTCTAGTCTGGACTTTATAACAGGCCACATCCCTTGGCCTCAGTTTTATCAGAACACAGAGGTTGACCCAGTGCTCTCTCATAGGTCCCATCAGGCTCTAACGTCGTACAGCCTCATGCACACCATCCTTAGCAGCTCATCTGCTCACAGGCCTGATGTAAGCCAGCCACCAGTGTGGAGGCCAGGCTGTGCCGCAGGTCCTCAAAGTAAAGAAGCTTTGAGCCCAGACAGTAGCAGTCCACAGCCTCTTAGTAGGAGAACTTAGCTGCCACGTAGGTGAACAGAGAAAGAACCATCTCTAGAAGTCTAGGCTTTTAAGAATTCAAGTGATTATAGAAAGATGACTAAGGATTGGTAGGTATACACTATTTCACCCACTATTTCATGCTAGCTAGCACAGTTTGTACTGCAGAAAATTCTTAAGTGTTAGAGAATATAGCCAGTCATCTGGAATGCATTTAAACAGCTCTCACTAAGGATGGTAGGATCTAAAAGGTACGAGTACTTTGATGAAGCCACAGAAGCCTAGGTTGTTGAAATAAGTTGACGTTTCCCCCTGCTCTTCCATCTCCTAAATAGTTCTTAAATGCTCTCATTTTTCTCCTCCCCTTCTGTTACCATCCTA